AGAAGAAGATAGCAGGAGGGGAAGAATGAAGGGGGGAATCGGAGGGGGATAGGAACCATGAGAGACTATGGGCTCTGAGAAACAAACTGAGGGTTCTAAAGGGGAGGGGAGTGGGGGGATGGGTTAGCCTGGTGATGGGTATTAAAGAGGGCACATACTGAATGGAGCACTGGGTGTTATACACAAACAATGAATCATAGAACACTACATCACAAACTAATGATGTAATGTATGGTGATTAACATAACATAATAAAAAATTAATTAATTAATCAGGATACTCATGTACCTAGATTTTTAAAATTTATTTTATTCCATTGCTATTATTTAGTTCATCTGTTTCTTATAGTTAAGAGTGATTCATTCATATTGTTATTTTAATATGAATTTCAGAAACAAAAAAACATAGGTTTCCTTTTTTTTTTTTAAGCAAGCTCTACACCTAACATGGTGCTTGAACTCACAACTCCAAGATCAAGAATCACATGCACTATTGACCAACTGAGCAAGCCATACACCCCCGAATGTTGTTTTTGTTTTAACATGAGTTTTTTAAGTCTTCCTTCACAGACACTAATAGAAAGAACATTGCTAGCACTAAACAGTATACTTGGAACTCAGTGCCTAAATGGAATCATTAGAAGAAAAGCTACAGAATCCAGTCTGTTGACTTAATATTCCCGAATCCTATAAGGAATGGCAAATGTGATCTAAATTTTCTCTTCTAGAAAAGAGATGCTTCCTCTGTCATTCTAGATGATAAGTAAAAGAAAATTTCATTTTTAGAGAATTGGTCCTGCTATATTCAATCTCTTTACTTTTCATCCTTTTTCCCATAGCCATGGAAGTGAGAAACTCATCTTCCCTTAGAAGTACTGACAAAGGAACAGAACTCAGTACAATGAGAAACTCTCTTTCAGAATGCTCAGAACATTGAAAGCAGTTTTTCTTTTACCCTGTATCAGCCCTGAGAAACTAAAAACTGAACTCCCTGATGTATACTAAATTTGAAGATGCAACATATATAAGAAACAACATATACAATACAATACAATACAATACAATACAATACAATACAATACAATACAATACAATTTAAAAAAAAAAACTGAAAATCATTCCATGGCACACACAGCAGAGCCATTTCTCTTGGTTTAAAACAATGGTTCTTCTAGGTCTCTGTTGCACCTGTGTCTCCTCTGCAAAGCAATCTCCACCAGTTAGCAAGTGCTTCAACACAAAGTGGCCAAATAGTATTGGAGGAAAGTCTAAGCAATTATTGTAACTCAAGATACAGGAACTTCTCATAAAGTATTTACTCAAGTTTTATAAAGTAGATATACCTGCTCCTCTTTATTATCAATCTTAATGAGACTAGAACGCTGGTCTTGGCATGACTCCTTACTCCTCTCCCAAGTCTTCTCTTCCTTTGCAAAATAGTAACAGCTTTTTCCACAGCAGTGCATTTTTTCTTGAGGTCTGATATAGTCTTTATCTTAAAAACAAAATCCACCATGATCTTCAACCACAAGAACACTTAGAGACCTGCACCTTCTATATATTTCATTGCTTAGTTCAGACTGAATAACCAAAAAAAATAGGTGGTATTTCTGAATCCCAGAAGTCTAATGTTGGAAATAGCTCTTTGGCCAAATTGTGGAGCCAGAGACTGTCTCTGACAGACTTCAGGCCATTGTTAGGATTGCACTGAGAAATCTTGTCTTCTCAAGGGCAAATACACTGCAGCAACATGGAGCAGTTCTCCCTTCTGGGAGAAATCCACCAATGGAATGTACAGGGATGGTATTAATTCCAAAGGATCTATATTGGGGAAAATTCATTCATGAGGATAAATTACTCAAATAATCAAATCAACATGACTTTGTGAAAGCTGAGCTCAATTACCTATAGTAACGAAAATGATTTGATTTTAAAAGGTGAGCAAAGTTAAAGGACCTGACAAAATACAATGTAAAGTTTTGAAATTATATATTGAAAAGGAACAGAAGGGGATAATTCCATGAAAAAAAAATCATCTGTAACTAACAGCATAAGTATTCAGTACATACCTGTAATAGATGGTAAAATTGAATGACCTTCAACTTCTGCAAAGGAAGCGTTTTTGTCTTTTATGTCTTTCATATTTTGCATTGTGTTTCCAGAACACCTCTGAAAAACTTCAACCCATATTAGAAAATTAAGGTCATGAATGCCTTTAATAGGTCACTTTATTATAATCACTTACTCTCATTTAAATTGCATGGTGAATGCTGTTGACTAAATGAGAGTACCATCAGAGGAAATGTGAGGATAAAATACTATGAAGTGTCCGAACATAGAACAGATTTTTATTATACAACTTTATTTGCTATCTATTATTTGTTAAGTATGTAAAATAGTAATCAACTTTTATAAAACAGAAAATATAAACAGGAAATCAAATATATTACTAGTTTCTATGTCATCTACACTTCAAATAAAGATTTTAAAGTTGGTGAAGTTGAGTATTCAGTATATTATTTTGTATTTAGTATTTGCATATAAAGCTAAATATAGGGATTTGGCTCCCCTCTAGACTAAACTTATAATTGATTCATTGAATGTGCATGGAGTAAGAGCTCAGATGGCTCCTTCTAATACGCAAAAGGAAAGTTAAAAATCTCTGAGAGAATAACAACATTTTCCCAAACTCACAAATAAAAATGTAAAAACATGAAGTATATGGCTCTTTCAGTGTGTGAACATTAAAAGAAAAATCCTTTAAAGTATTTGTTACATAACTGAGAACGTTCATTTCCAAATCTGCTACGACCCATCATCATTCAGTCAAATTCTTGGCTACTTGTAAAAATCCAACAAAATCAATTGCACAGTCTCTTAATATAGTCAGTTGCAATAAATGTAACTATTGCTTTAACTGAGCCATCCATTCCAATGTTCATATACTGGTTTTGAATTAAAAAGACACATTAAGGAGCATCTGAGTGGCTCAGTCAGTTAAGCCTCCAACTCTTGGTTTCAACTCAGATCATGATCTCAGGGTCCTGGGTTTGAGCCCCACCACCAGCACCACGCACAACATGGAGTCATTCTCCTTCTGTCCCTCCCCCTGCACAAGCTCTCGCTCTCCCTCTCTCTCTAAAATAAGTAAATAAATTTAAAAATAAACAAGACATGTCAAGACCTCTGATACCTAGGGATGCCTGGGTGGCTCAGTTGGTTAAGCGTCTGCCTTCAGTTCAGGTCATGATCCCAGGGTCCTAGGATGGAGTGGCATGACAGGCTCCCTGCTAAGCAGGGAGCCTGCTTCTCCCTCACCTCCCCATCTGTGTTCTGTTGCTATCTCTATCTTTCTCTCTCTCAAATAAATAAATAAAATCTTAAAAAAAAAAGACCTCTGACACCTAAATACTACAAGATCTTGTGACTAACCAATTCCCTTGTCCTTTCCTTGCTGACTATCCAAGGACACATGGTACAAAATTAATTTTGGCAGGACCTCCAAGAAACTTACAACATAGTCTTTATGCACATCTAAAAACAGCCAAATTCATTGGGACACATGGCTGGCTCAGTGAGTAGAGCATATGACTCTTGATCTCAGGGTCTTAGGTTAAAGCCCCATGTTGGGTGTGAAGCTACTTTAAAAATAAAAAATAAAATAAAAAACATACAAAAATAACCAACCTTGGACACTCTTGGCATTCACCATCTCATCTCTACAAGTCTTCTGAAAGTCAGATGACCAAAAATCACAAAACTGTACCCATACAGTTTAATGCTGACTAACACTTATGCTTCTCATCAATATTTCACCTCAACATTACACAGTATAGTTATTGAGTCACACTCTTTTCTCATCAACAGCTATTTCAAGTATTTATACTTTTCCTAAATTATCTAGTGCACCTCCTTGACACTCCCCCTCAGAAGATGGCCTCGTGTGTTATTTCACATGGAAACAGTCACCAGCAAGTGTACGTTCCTCTCAAAATCCTGCCTCACCGCCTATAAATACACAGGTATCCCTCATTCTATCTCGGAAAAAAAATTGCTTTTCATTGAGTAAGTCTGAAACTTCAACCCCTGGTCTTGATTTCATCCCCTATTGAATCTTTGGTGATCGTGATCTCCTACTATTATATTTCTCTCTTGGACCCTCAACATTTTCCTTCTCATGGTTCCCTTCTCTTGCATTATGCTCAAGTCACCTCTCCCACAAAATTTCCTATCCTTTATTCTTCATATTTTTTGTAAGAGAATTGTTTTTCTAACTCTTAGTTTGGGGATAGCATAAGGTTGTTCATAATACTTCATTCATGAAACACTCTCAAATTTGCTCTCAGAACCTTTATTTTTATTTATTTATCCAATATGCTAACCACCAAAAATTGTAGCTAGCACCTTAACTATTACATTTATCTACTTTTATACTTTATTTCATCCCTTCTTCCTACCTTTAGTGTTACTAAAGCCCATTACAATCACCCCTTGATAAATTTTACATATACTTTTATTGTCTCCTTATGTATTTCCTGAAATATTACTATTTATTTGTTTTTAACTATTTAAGTTTGTAAGAAAGTATGATATACAAGAACTTTTGTGCTCTTGCTCTTTTTTCATTTCACATTATCTTCATAAATTTCATCCACATCGTTGTATATCACTGTAGTTTATTTTAACTGCTACATAAACTGCATTAGGAAATAAATTGCAGAGGTTTCATTTTCTCTCCCATTAATGGTCATTTGTGTATTTCTGAGGTGTTTGATAGTAAACAGCACTGCTATAAGCAGTCCGTAGATGTGCATATCTGTGCATGTGCAAGTGTATCTGTTGGACATATACTTAGGCAGAAAATGACCGACTCATGTTCAGGTTTAGGAGATAATACCAAACTGACAAAGTGCTTGTGTCAGATTATAGTCCCTCTACAATGTATGAGATCATATACATCCACATATTTTCAACACATGGGAAATTTTTTGCTTAGCCATAATTCAAAAAATAATTTTCTGTACTCATTTTCTCAACTTCCTAATGTTTGAATAAGTTTCAGTCATTGTAATCAAGCTTTGACCCAACCTACCATTTTGCTGAATCTACTCTAGAAAATGTCATTAGTGGCCTCTCTGTTGCCAAATATAATAAGCATACCTTTCACTATCATAATACTTCGTCTTTCTGTACTACTTGAAACCCATAACTATCTTTTGCCTCCTCTCCATATGATGCCATAATGTTTTGGATCCCTTCCCTGTTAAACCACACCATCACTGTTTTTCACTATTTGCTCCTCTTACACTTAATCTACTCTCCCTGGTTTCACGAGGTGACACAGGGTCTAGCTTCTTCTTTCCTCTACTATGTTTTTGAATACTTGCTCCATTAGTTGTTGAATAAGCAATTCATATCTCTAATCTAGGCATCTCTCTTGATCTCCAGACTTTAAATCCTATCCTATATGTGTGGATGGTCTGTGTCTACTGCCAAAACTCATTCTAGAAGACTCGGACCAATCTAATTCTTTTTGGTCATCTCCAATGATATGCCACCAGCACCTCACTCTTCACCATTATTAGCACACACACACACACACACACACACACACACACACCTTGAATCATAGCCTAATATTCCTCTTGTGTTTTCTATAACGTTTAGTGGACTATATTCACCAATG